AGACGTCAGACAGATGATAAAACGTCCATCAGATCAGATATCAGGGAGAGCCTCGGATATAACAAAGAGGAGAGAAGAAGAAGATTTGGACAAAAAAATCTAAAATACACAAATCCAGCAAAAAGGTTTGATGCCACGAGATTCCATTCAAAGTGTATTTAAAGCAGTATTTAAGATATCATGATTCCAATTTAGGGCTTGGAAGTTTTTGAAGCTCGATATCAATCATTTTAAGATGGCTAACAAATGATATCCAATCAGAGGAAAGGGAGGACACACTGAGAGGAAACACCTGCAAGACCTCCTCTCTTAATATCTGCGTTATATCATGCCCCTGCAGACTCAACATGTAAACATAAATGATGTCTCTCTTAATACATCCGTGACATTTGACCTCCAGCAGCATGTGGGTTTATTTTTAAATACCCTGTTTATTGTACTCTATTGTACTTTTGTAAAATAAAATAAAACAAACATTTCTGGATGTTTTAAAGCCAAATAAAATCGTATTTTGATTTGAAGCGTCCTTGTAACAAATGACGTGTTCAAAAATCGTTGGAAAATGGTAAAAGATGTGAAAAATAAATAGTAAAACCGTGCATTTGTTTGCAGCAGGATGCGGGTGTGACCTTTGACCTGCAGACAGACATCAGGCCCAACACGCAGCACAGAGACTCTTCAGTCAGGCTTCAAGTTGCAGCCAGAAACACAGTCCAACAAATGTCCCATGATTCACAAACGCAACACACATTTCACGCAGCGGCGGATATTCCAAAAATAAATAAACACATTTTTAAATGTTCCGTGTTCTATAAAACGTCTCGGTCATTGAAACGTCCCGGCATGAATTATGGATTATATTTCCACACAACAAGAGGAAGAAGCTCAAAACAAACATCCTGCAGCAGGCCGAGAAACCCGGAAATGTAACATTTAAATGCAAGAGCAGTACATGTCTCAGAAGCGTTGTCATGAGAACAGAGACACACCGTGCAGATCGAGCAGCAGCAGGAAGCAACATGTGATATTGTGTTGTTGCATTTCCCCCAAAACAAGCAGGAAGGCGAGGAGGAGGAAGAGGAACAGCAGTAAGTGGGTTTATGATGTGCAAAATAAGCCAATATTTCAGATCCTACAACATTACATTTACATATGTGTGAAATGTACTTTAAAGTCCTAACATGCTGGTTGTATTTTGAAGGTTTCACACTCAGGAGCACGCGCAGCCTGCAGACAGAACCCGGGGTCTAATGAACCCAGCGGCGCAGTTTTCTCGCAAAAAAAGAAACGAAGAAGAAATATAAAATATCGGGGGATTCTGCGGAGGGCAACCTGCAGACCTGCGACAACAATCACCATTATCTGCAAACACAGAGACACACACGCTGTCTGCAGATATGACACTTTAAAGGAGGAGGACGAAATGAGACTTGTCAATATGGTTTCATTTCATTTTGAGACTTAATCTGAAAAACAGCCGCAGAAATACTGTTCAAATAAGATCCCGATCACAGCAGCTCCCCACACAGGAGAAAAGGTCGTTTGCGTTTTAACAATTAGAAGAACTGCAAAAAAAACACCGAAAATCAACACTTAAGGAAACTACGCTTGGATTCAGGCTTTAAATATATATACAAATGTCAATTTTGCAAGATAAATGAAGCTATTCAGGTGCCCAAGCCAAAATAAGATTTTATCTCTGGGCCTAAAACAAACCAGTCACATTAAAGAGGCATAAAAGCGGAACCAGGAAGATAAAGTGTCATTTGTTCAATGTAAATATGATGAATGGGAAAAAACAAGGCGGGAAGCAGACACTAAATGCACCTTCAGCAACATTATTAATAAGCACCTTTTAATTCTAAGAGAAATCTGTAAAAAGTCTACTTTCTGACTAGTTGCACCAAACAAACAAAAAGATATCAATATAAATATATCAATTCAAAATATTGTGTTTATCCAGCTTCACCAGAAAATATTCAAATATCGAGGAAATAATACCCATAATACCACAACGCAAAAATGACTCACAATACATATTCAAATAACGCTTAAAATCGGAGTTGTTGTTTTTAAAACGCAAGAGTAGACTGAATTCTGCACAACAAATCTTCTCAATGAAGCAAAAACAATCCAGCTCCACCTAAATCATTAAAATACTGATCAGCTGCATCTAAAACAGACAGACATAGTCTAATTTCTGCAGATATGAGCCAGTGAAATGTCACATTTAAATATTTTAAGGAATACATTTTCTGCAGTTTAAAGTGTATCTATAAAAATAAAACAAGCGGCACCAGAAACCTTGAAACTCGGATCACGGCAGCAACAGATCAGATGTGAACACAGATTTAAATAAAACACTGGAGCTCAACCAAGCTTCCTCCACGGAGCCAAGACAACACCAACGCTCAAATCCTCCAAATACATCTGAGATTTATGGAAGACAAAACACCTGCAAGTTCAATCTGATATTTAACAGTTTAAAGAGTAGGGTGTCCTTTCAAACCAAACGAGGCTTAAGCTGCACCACAAATATTCAAATGTGAAGCGTAGAAAGAAGAAATGAAGACACCTAAAGTCCCTTTGCATGATGGAAATGTGACGAATTTAAGGAAATACTCAGGAGAGCAAAAACATTCATATACTTCCAAATATTTGAGAAAAGGCTGAAAATGTGCAAGTTTAAAATAATACAATGTGCAGCTGTTTGCAAAATAGTTTTGGTTTGATCTGTAAATAATGATCCAAAACACACACAGAGACACACACACACACACACACACACACACACACACACACACACACACACACACACACACACACACACATACACACTAGCTGCAGCAGAAACACAAACACACCACATGACAAAGAAAACACGCTCACATTCAGACTCAAAATCAGAGTTTTCTGCAACCAAAAAAGACCAAACATCTGCACATTGAAATCCAAATCCAAATGTTTAAACACAGTTCGATGTTTGCGAGTGAAATCAAACTGAAGCACCAAAACACAGCAGCGTTTGAAAGAAACCATGTGACGTTAGAGCGCATGTGGTGATATTCTGTTGGGATTTCTGCACAAAAACACGCAGGAAAGCCCGCAGTGAGCCCGCGGGCCACAGCTTGCAGCGCCTCGGGTTTCAGAAAAGGAAAGAAAATGTCACACAAGTCAGTCAGGCTCCAGCAGCCTGAGCGCGACCTCTGTTGCATCATTTGACACAGTTTTTCCACCCAGACGCGCGTAAAACTGCATGCGTAAAAGAAGCTTTACGCACAAGGTGCAGAGCAGGTTTCCGCTGTGTGCGTAAACAACCAGAAGCAAAACTGCCCAAAACACAAACACAAATAAACCTCAAGTGGACAAGAGGGGATATTTCTGGACTTATTTTTTAAGAGTTGTAAATAAAACCAAGGCTTCTCAAAAGCATTTGTTTGGTTTTAAGATATGTTTGCTTTCCTATAAACCAAAAACAGTCACGTGGAAGAGAGGGTATATTTGGGGGGTTTTATTTGTAAATAAAACCAAGGCCTCCGAAGGCATGTTTTGCTGTCCAATAAAACCATACAATTGTCATTACAGTGAATAAACGCTTTAACAAAACCCCCAACATTTTGGTTAAATTTAGAAAAATAAAAAGAGCCAATTTTTCTGCATAATTCTTTTAAAAATAAGAATTACAATACTTTTGATTCCCTGGTGATAACAACAGTAACAACACGTGGTAAAGAAGACAAAGGGATATGCGTTAGTTATGAATGCAACCTATTCTTTTATTTTTTTATGATTAAAACATTTTTTTAATCTTTTTTCTTTAACTTCTGTAAGCGACAAACACGGGAATAAGAATAAGACCACAATATTATCACAACCAGTGACGACAATTAAAGGACAATCATTCCAAGTAGTATTAGATAATGAGGCATTTTTTTTTCTTCTTCTGTCAAACAAACGGGTTTTTTTTTTACATTGTTTTGCCTTTTTAGAAAAGAAGGAAACCCCCAAATTCAAATTACAAATAGACATTTTTTTTTACTTTCTTTTACTAATTATACAAATAAAAGAAGATGCGTGAAATTCGTTTTTAGCGGCGATCACGTTTACAGAAAAAAAAAAAAAAAAAATCACCGAGGAAATATCCATTTAAAAACGAGAGATTCACGTTTTAGTATTCTATTTAATTAGGAGTGAAACGAGGCGGGTTAAGGCAAAAGGCCTCCAGCTGCACCAATAAAACATTCAGTGAAATACATTTAAAAATCGGCGCCACCAAACTCCATTGAATTGTTCGCTAATTTAACAAAACAACAAATATTATTCATAAAAAATGCAATAAAAATCTCGTTTAAATGGACATTTTCTGCAGTGATGGAGGCACAATTCATCTTTCTATTCACTCGTTCATCCATTCATTCTAATTCCTACTACATTAGGCCTCTGTAAGCTGAATATTGACTCTAAATTTCCTAAAAACCGATTCTTTGGTCTATAAAAAGTACATGTTTTTAAACTGGGAAATGAAATTATTAAAAAAAAAAACAAGCCTCAGGACTTTAAACGGCAGGAGTCGCTTTAGAAATAAAACACATTTCACTGAAAAGAAAATAATAATTAAAAAAGAAATTAGTTTTCTCCAAAGAAATCATTCCTCCAACGCGGCTCTTCTTAGCCCGCATGATACCTGATAATACTGCACACATGCGGGTAAAAGAACCGGCTATTAGAGATATTATTAATATTATTTTAACCTTTTTTTAAACTTAAAATTAGACAAAACTATTTTAAATACACATTCTATAAAAGTAATGCCTCCTCGAACAACAGAAGTAAATCAGCCTAACCATCCTCTCTGTTTTGAAGTCACATTGCACGTCGCTGACTGACAGTATTATACAGAGACAGACCCGGACACTTATAGGAACAGACATTATGTACACACAAATTCAACTGCAGCGGGAAACGGAGCAGAAAAGAAGAAGAAGAAGAGATAATAATAATAATAATAATAATATTAAAAAATACCTGGAAACTTCAGGGCTGCTTTCTGTCAGTTTCTCTGCTTCTCTTTTTTGTTTTGCAGTTTAAGTCTCTCTTCTTTTCTCTATAGGTAGTTTATAATATTTCAGTTTTTTTACAATGTAAATGTTCAGTGTAAAATGTTCAACTTACAGTTCCAGTCATTTCTAAGAGTTTCACTCCTTCAGGGGTGGAAATGGGGGGTGAGGGATGGATGGAAAGGTGAGCTATGGGTGAGGGTTTGGAGTATGTTAGTGTATAAGCGGGTTGGAGGTCGACCCCTGGTTTTGATGCGTAAAATAGTCAGACAAACCCCCGGAAAGTCCCCCGGAAAGTCCCCCGGAAAGTCCCGAGGGGAAGGCCGGCAGAGAACCGGACAGACCCGGCCTCAGAGAGTCACAAGCCAGCGAGGAGGACGGAGCCTGCGGGGAATTGGAGGCCGAAGCCCGGGCGGCATGCAGGGAGCCTCCGGGCTGCGTGGTCATGGAGGGGTGAGGGACGTGGGGGAAAAAGTAACTAGCCTGCCCGGACAGCAGGTTGACCGAGCAAGGGTTCAGGGAGTAAGTGGCCCCGGAGCAAGGCACCGAGAGGCCGCAGGGCACCGCGGAGGCCGCCAGAGCCGCAGCCGTGAGGTGGTGCGTCGCGTAGGGGAGATCTCCGCCAACCAGCCGGTCCATGCTCAGCCCGTTGGAGCTCGGGAACGACGAGTGGCTGCCCCCCATGTTCTGTGTCAACATGGTGCTGTAGGACATGGGGTGGCCCGGGTACCCAGAGGAGGTCCCGTTGTAGCCCAGGGCGCTGCCGGCCCGCGGGTGATGCAGGGAGAGGAACGGGGACATGGGCCAGTACAGGGAGCCGGCGCGGTCCATGAAGGTCAGCCCGGAGGTCAGCCGCGCGCCCCGCTTGAAGGCCAGCTTGGCCCGGGACGTGGTGGACCGCCGCCGGAGCTTCCCCGTGGTGCCACCGATGAAAACATCATCACTGCTGGGGTCAAGCATCCAGTAGTTCCCCTTGCCCGGGTCGTCGTAGTGCCTGGGAACCTTTACGAAGCACTTATTCAGGCTCAGGTTGTGCCGGATGGAGTTCTGCCAGCCCTGCTTGTTCTCCCGGTAGTACGGGAAGTTTTTCATGATGAACTCGTAGATGCCGTTCAGGGTGAGCCGCTTCTCCGGACTCTGCCTGATGGCCATCATGATCAAAGCGTTGTAACTAAAAGGAGGTTTTTCGTACTTGCCGCTCTTCTTCTCTCCGTCCTTCCCTCCTCCGTCCCCGTCTTTCCCGTCCTTCTTTTCCTCCGGTTTCTCCTTCTCGTCCGGGCAGCTATCCGGACCGGAGGAGTCACTTTTAGGATCCGCTTTGCTGTCCTGCTGCGCGGCCGGAAGAGGAGCTTTCTGTTCGGCTTCCTCCGGCACGCCGGGCCGGTGGAGGTGGGTCTGGTGGAGGTGCTGCTGGTTCTGGTGGTGCTGCTGGTTCTGGTGGTTGTTGTTGTCGTTTTTCACGGCCTCGGGCACCAAACTGTTTATACTGAACGACGATTTAGGAATCATTTTCACCTCTTTGCGCTCTCCCATATCCAACATCACCGGGCAATGAGGGGGGAAAATGGCAACGACCGAAAGCGAGGAACACAGCTGGGCTTCAATCTGTCCTGACTCTGCCTGCGAACCCGAACGGGAAGGAAGGAAGGGGGGAACGGTAGGAAGAAGAAAGTATAGCCCAACAAACTATTTCATGTTCGCTTTGGGGAGAGAAAGGGAAACACACACACACACACACACACATACATGTACACACACATCGATAGGAGACAGATAGCTGCAATTAATTAGGGAGCCACAGCCACTAAAGCAAGTAAAAAACATTGGTTGGACCTTTCCAGTCCTCAGCCAACCAGGGGAACATTAGTATTAAATATTAAGGCGTCCTCTGCGCGTTCAGCCAATCATGACGCACAGGGAAACACACACATGCACCAGCGCCGTGCACGCTGTAAAAAGTGCCCAACCCGACCTCTCTTTTTTTGAACGGTTATCGAGTTTGAAAATAATAATTCGATCAAAATAAACATGAAAATCTAAACAATTTGATATCTATTTATTTTTATTTTCAAAAACGATTTGTTTATTTAGGTTGTTTTGTTGATTCTGTTTACATTTTTATGTCAGAACAAGTGTCTCCAAGTTACATTTTCAAAACAAAATCCAAACATTTGATATTTATTTGTTTGTTCTGTTCCGGTGAATTGTTTATTTTGGTTGTTATGACGATGTTATTTGCATTTTTATGTTAAACATAGTGTTTCCAGGTCACATTTTTTCAAACACAATCACTATTTTAAGTCAAATAAATTCAGCATTATTTAAAAAGGTATATATTTATGGGCTTTATTGTGTATATTTATTACCTTTTCTGCACGAATAACAGACCTTCAGAGTGTCTAACACATCCAAAAGGATTTCCCAACATGGACACTTTTTGCAGCGTGGAAAGCTTTATTTAAAAAGATATATATTTGTTGTCGTTAATGTACATTTCTCAAATATTTTCTGCACAAATAATAGACTTTCAGAGTGTCTTACACGCCCCAAATCACTTGCCAACACGGACACTTTTTGCAGCGTGGAAAACACACTCACCCCTATCAACACTGCCTTCCTCCCTCACCCCTCCCCTCCTCTCA